CTGAGGACATTTTAAGATGTTGCTAAGTGCTGTACTATCATGGATTTGGTGTCTGTCAGGAAAAATTGGGCTAACGTCTCTTTGCTGGTACATGGAGTAGAAACTTGGTCCGTCTGCTCTGTCTGTAGATGAAATAAGAGAAGATGTAAATGAAATAGATGAGTAGGGCCCATTGTTCTCTAACATACAGAGCTGTGCGGATGCCTCTACTGATCCAAATGAGTGTTGATATTCTTATGTTAAGGTCCACATGATGGCCTCCACCTTGTTCAAATCTTGCAAATCTTGCTCCCAGTGGCCAAGCTGTCCAGAGCCCTTGGAAGTAGTGGGCAGCGGAGCTGACGGCTCAGAATGCTTGGGTCAGAAGCTGGTCTACAGGCTGTGCACAGCACGACTGCCCATTGCTGGACATCCTGCTGAGACATGTATTAGATGGGAGCCAGAGTGGAGACTTTCCCCAGTGACCCCTCATTCTTCTCCAGTAATGAGCCTGAGGCTTGTTTGGACCATGACGGATTATGAACACTAAATTTGTGGGAGGCATTTTGAGCAGAGGTTGGAATCTGGGCTCTACAGTCAGACTGCCCGGGTGCAAACTAAGACCATTCCTATCTGTACTGTGTGATACTGGGTGAGTTCCTTAACTTCTTCAGCAGTTTGCTCACTGTACACTTAGGACAATTTACCTCCCTATCACTAGAGAAAGGATGATAAATAACTGTGGTAAAGATACTTGAGCACCAGCCCAGGTCCTGGCACATACTTGGTATACAGTAAATGTTAACTATTTGGGTGCTATGATGAAGAGGATAACTTTTCTGACTTTTAAATATATTAAACCTGCAACTTTAACATTGACTTTGCCCAGGACAGAATTATGGCTCAGGAAGGTAAAGTCAGTCATAGTGGTTGAAAGCTATTCAATCTAGGTTCTTCAGTTTCAAGTTGTATAAACACTTTCCTGCTATTGATTGCTGGAATTCCTATCTGCCTGGCTGTGGCTGACAGGAAAACAAGTGTCCATGCAACTGCGCCAGAGGCACAGACAGATTTCAACCTGACATGCCCTGCCGGTGACAAAGAGCCCACTGCAGCTTCTGCTCCTCGTTGTCAGTCCATTGAAGAGAGTGACTGACCTCAAAGCTGGACTCCTAATGTCCTTGCACAGGCCTTTTTGTCACTGGATGAGAGGTGAAATGTTTTTCATATTTTGTAAGTAGCACATTCAATTGCATAAATGGGGTATAATTAAACATCAAAAATGATAGTTCTGCAGAGAATCCATCATCCATCATCAACAGTATTAGGGAATCAACATTTTCTTGATTATAGGTTTATTATAAAGACAACCTTGGTTTATAAACATTATAACTAAATATATATTTTTTTAAATCCTCACTCAAGGATATTTTTCCATTGATTTTTAGAGAGAGTGGAAGGCAGAGGGAGAGGCAGGGACAAACATCGAAATGAGAGAGACCCATAAATTGGTTGCCTCCTGCACACACCCGAGCAGGTGTACCCTTGACCGGAATCAAACCCCGGACCCTTCTGTCCGAGGTCTGATGCTCTATCCACTGAGCAAAACCAGCCAGGGCTAACATGAACTAAATATTAAAGTTTCAAATGAAAATGTATGGTTATTTAAGGTACTGAATTTAATGTTATCACTTCAATTGTAAACTGTCTTAATCTAGGCATATTAAAACTATTATTCAGAACCACTATACCTTGTGAAAATGTCTTAGAGATGAGATTCACATTTTTTGAACAATTAAAACAAGTATTTTATATTTATGATATCTACACTATAAACTTGATACAGCAACTTAAACTGGATAGTTACTTTTTTTTCCTTTATAAGTTAACTGTAAGAAATTAGACTTTTTCCAACAAAAATACTCTATGGACCGAAAGGGATAACTACAATATTCACATATCTATTCATGTAGATTTCACAAACAAAACTATTATTCAGAACCAATATACCTTGTGAAAATAACTGTCTCAGAGATGAGATTCACATTTTTTGAACAATTAAAACAAGCCATGTAGACTGGCATAGTCCCATTCAAATGGACAAAGTATCTTTGTTGTGGTGTAAAATATCTCTCATTTCAAGTAATATTACATAAAATAAATTGAGGTATTTTAAATATTCTGAGTATTTTTTTCCAAAAGATGTCTTTAAGAAATATTGGGATATAATCCTACTTAAAATTACCTTTACATTTGCATGAATGATGGATCTCAATTTTCTACTTGGCCTGATACTGCCCACACTGGTATTGATAGTAACAGAACTGGATGCAATTTGAGGGACATTAAACTATTAGACTCACCTGTGTGATGATCTCAGCTATTATTTGGAATCTGAAACTGTTAAATGCCAGTCTGATCTAACATAGGACATGGCTGATTAAAATACAAATAATTTCCTAATTATGGTGGTGATACCCAAAAGATGAAGTGGAGAAATGTAGAGAGAGATATGATTTAAGCAAAAACAAACAAAAGGATAACCATTTGAAGTATAATGATAATGAGGACAATTTTCTTTTAGAGTTATAGTCGATGTCCAATTCAATAATTAACTACAAACCAGCAGCATATCTTTACTTGAAGAACACACACCTCAATGATCAAGAAAGTAGGAAGCCTTGTTTTCTGATATATGGATGTCTCACTTCTATGACAGATAATTAGAGCAGAGAAGAGAGTTTTGGGCTAAATATTGTTTCCCACTTTGGATGCCAGCTCAAAAGGAGTTGAGGAAGACATGGAAAAACTGAAGAATTAGAATAAGGCAAGGGTCAGAAAACTATGCTCAGGTCAAATTCAGCCAGCTGATTGTTTTTATAAATAAAGTTTTACTAAAGCATCGCTATGCCTATTAATTTAAGTGACCTCTATGGTTGCTTTCAGGCTACAATGGTTGAATTGAGTAATTGTGACAGAGGCAATATGTCCCTCACCCTCTCCCCCAAATATTTGTTATCTGGCTTTTTATAAAATTTGCCAATATCTCGATTAAGGAAAACATTCTTATTCTCTGAATTTTGCAAGGAAGTGTATTAAAGATGAGATCTGGCATGTCAGCTATCTCAGTTCCCTTTCCTCATATGAAACTGCCTTGGATTTCAGATGTAATAAGCTTTGGCACAGTACAGTCTGCTTCAGTGAAGTGAGACAAGCTAGCATTTATTGGAAACATTTAATGCTGATAAATGCACCCAGAAACTGCAGATACATTATTATTAAAATATTTGTATACTGTAATTGGTTAGCAATGTAGTGGGACTTAGGGGTCTTAAACACTTTAAAAGTGATTTCCCTTTATTTTTGCAATTAAAGATAGTTTCACGTATTTAATCTTACTTTTTTCATCTATTGAGCGTCCACATGATATTAGATACTATGTTAGAAGGTGTGGCAAAGCGAGGTAAATTCACTTTGACTGAAAAGACTGTGGTATCAAAATTGGGGCTTTTCCAAATGAAAACATTAGATACTATGTTAGAAGGTGTGGCAAAGTGAGGTAAATTCACTTTGAGTGAAAATGACTGACTGTGGTATCAAAATTGGGGCTTTTCCAAATGAAAATGGTGGGTCAAAGTATTCAAGACCAGTGTTTATAAGGAAGATGCTCCAGGGCAGGGAGAACATGGGTCTTATTCATCTATACATCCCTAGCACAGAGAAGGGCTGGATGCCTATTAAAAACCCAGTAACTGTTTGAATATTGTTACAAAAACAATTTAGCAATAATGCAATCAATTTATAACCCTTGCCCGGCCAGCGTGGCTCAGTGGTTGAGCATTCTAGCACAGAGAAGGGCTTGATGCCTATTAAAAACCCAGTAACTGTTTGAATATCGTTACAAAAACAATTTAGCAATGATGCAATCAATTTATAACCCTTGCCCAGCCGGCGTGCGTGGCTCAGTGGTTGAGCATCGACTTATGAATTAGGAGGTCACAGTTCAATTCCCAGTACTGGGCTTGATCCCCAAGGTGGGGCATGTAGGGGGCAGCTGATCAATGATTCTCTCATCATTGATGTTTCTATCTTTTTCTCCCTCTCCCTTCCTCTCAGAAATCAGTAAAAAAATTTTATAACCCTTGACAATCTAGATTATTATTTTAAAACAGAATGTGATTGGAGAAAACAGAGTTTGATCTTGATAAATAATGTGAATGTCTTTTGTTTTCCAACCTTTGCACTTCTTGGAAAGTATACATCTCATAAGAAAAATATAAACTTTGTTATTCACCAAAATAACATAAGCAACATTACACAATATATAATAGAAATGTTTTCTATCAGAAAAGGGGATTCTGGAAAAATAAGTCACATATTTAACTTTTGAAAATTATGAATATTACTTGTTCCCCCCCTCCCCCCCAAAAATGTAAGTAGTCTAATCCTAAATAGGGGCTTTATTTTGAATAAAAGGATTCATAGAGGGGATAACTCATATTATGCCAGAATATATTAAGGCAATGCAACCTCCAATAATATAGAAATCCAATCTACAGAAAGAGTACTATTGATTTGAAATGGGATTTTAGAAGTGAAAAAATATCTAAAATTTATTTTTTTCCTTTGAATGGAAAATATGGCTGCTTCATTTAATTGTCTTTGAAATCTGGTTTAATAGAACATCTCTTCTACACCTCGGGTCAGCTCCCAACATTTTGATTGCAAAATGAAAGGCATTTACTTTGATATCTTTAATTATCACTCATTTAGAGGACAAGATGAAACACACTTTTCCAATTGGTGTTTTAAAATCTTGAGTCAAAGAAAAGGAATGACAAATTAGCCAGCTGGAAGAGGCAAGAAATAGCTAGCTAGTGCTGCTAGGTTCTTTGTGGATACTTCAAAGTAAGATGAAAGGGAAATAAAGGGACTGTTAGCCACACATGCTCCATAAATGAAATACTAACACAATTTCACGACACATTAATAACAAGTTAATATCATACTTGGAGACTTACTCAACATAATAAGTGCCATATATGGGATCATCGATTTTTTCCCAGCCATATGGAAGCTCTGAAAAATAAAAAGTTATTTCTTTTAGTAAATAAGTAACATACATCACAATTTCTAATAAAAAGTAATATAATTTAACTGTTCATGAATTGCAGAAATAATCTACCAAAGTGGAATAGAGCATTCAGAGTCAGCACCAAATTTCAGACACATATTGTAGGAACTTTTAGAAGCACTGACTTGAAAATTGGCAGTTAAAACACAGAGCTCTCTTCTCTGCAGACGTACTGCTGCGTCTAGCTGTTTATCCCACGCCAAGCAGTAGGATGGCACGTCCTCATGCTATCACCACTGAGGCAATACAGAAGGCACACTGCTTTCCTGAAAGGGCATACGGCTTTCTTATTTATGTGTATTGTTAAAAGGATAGTTTCAGAATAAAGATCATATTTTGAAAATATATTTCTGAAGATAGCAAATATTTTTTCTGGTGAATGTAACACAGACATTATAAATTCTCAATTGATATCCCACTAGTCAAGATGGTTAGCTTGCTGTTCTCTCCACACGGGTCAGATTTTGAGTACTGCCAATATACTTTTGGGCATATTTTCATAAAGTCTAAAATTCTACACACATTTTCCTTGACAATATGGTTCATATTTCCAATTCTCCATGGGTAATTTTAATTCACATATATTTAAAATAGCAACAATGCCCTAAATGCTACTATAGGCAAAAGCAGGCTCTTTGAAAACCAGGCTTTGCTTCATGATACACGGAGCCTTTATAATTATTAATTTCTAAACATTATATTTTTCTAGATAGATATTAATTTTATGTATACAGAATTTGACATTTAAGTAAGATATATTGGCATGATTTAAATAATATCTTTAAATGAGATTTAAAAGTTGTAATTATAGTAGTAATTAAATTTAATAGTAATAAAATAAATTTGAAAGTTATGATGTAGTAATACATGTTGACTGCAAAGTATAGTTATAAAAAAAACTAGAATCATTTGCAATCCCTCCATCCAGAGATAACCACCATTAATATTTTGATGAATATTCTTTATACATGCAACTACTATTTTTAAGAAATTAAATCGTAGAGTACATATTATTTTTATAGCCTACTTCTATTTAACAAACTATCAAGGGCATCTTTCAACATAAATAAATGTTACTTAACAATATCACTTTTAAAGTGGCAGTCTCGTAGTCTGTGGTATGGCCAGAGTCTTCGTAATCCAGCAGCCTTCTGTTGTTGAACAAAGGGACGTTCCAGTTGTTACCTATTACATATCATCTGTGTTGGATTTATTAAAACCTCAATCTGTCATCACTTTCCTAGTAATTTATCGATGATAAATTCCCAGAGGTGGGATTTTGGATTAAAGGGCATGTACTCTTTCATGGCTTTTGATGTACAGCCAGATTACTACCTTCGCACTCACAAAAGAGAACCAATTTATCATCTCACTGAGTGACTTTGTTTCTCTGTGCCATCAAATTAAGCACAGGTACGTAATTCCCCATCCAAAACGTTTAGGGACAGAGATAGGTTTTGGAATTCAGTATTTCTCCAATTTTAGAAAGTTAAGATGATGCAAATGATTTCTAATTTATAGCACTCCAAGCAGAGTCTGGGAAGCACTTTATAATCAAAACATGAGTATTTGTACAGCCAAAATTACATGATTCACACTAGGAGGCATAAATGACTACTTCATATCAGTTTGCACTGGTTTGCTGCCATTGTGTCCAGATTAGCTTCTGTTTTGCTGCCAAATAAGTTACAAAAAGCAGTTTTTCGTGTTTTTGAATTCTAGATATGCAGATTAAGGATTATGTATCATTATTTTGAAAATCAATCAAATTATTTTTTAAAATGGCAGCTCATAGCTGTTTTAAATTACCTTTCTTGGATTTCTAGTTAGTTTGAACATTTTTCATTTGTCCATCTTTGGACAATTATTTTTTTCTTTTGTGCATTTCTCATTAATTTTTATTAATTCATAAGAGCTCTTTACTTATTAAGGATACTAATTCTTTACCACATAGTTTGCACATATGTTAAAAGTTTGTTTAAGTTTTAATTTTTCTGAACATTTCTTTTAACATATATAAGTTTGGTAAGTTTTTCATTGTTTTCCTCTATGGTTTCTATCATTGGAGCTTAGCTTAAATACTGAAGAAATTTTTCTAGTGTTTCTTTTTTTTAAAAAAAGTCTAGATTATGACTTTGTTTAATAATTCTTAGATTAGTTATATCTTAATAAAATCAAAACACCAAATTGTGGAGTACCTTATGACACTTTCCTTTCAAAACGATAATGAGAGCAAACTTTTGCTGAGTATTTACCATGGTTCAGGTACTGATGAGTTTCCATGTACTAAATCATTTTACCCTAACAACAGCTCAGAATTTAAAATGCCTGTACTCTGGTTCCAGCAATTTTACCCAACTTAGATATCAATTTAGACACTGTGTTTAACACAGCATAAATAACACTTAATTAAGATTAAGTAGAATAATTTTCCAGATGGTTTTCACTAAATCCTTCAAGCTACTGGAGAATCTGGCTATGAAAATGAAGAATCCATTTGACAAATACTTATTGGGTGCCTTTTACAAGCAGTGAAGTGCCTTTTACTTAAGTAAAAGAATATATAGAACACAGCAATCAATATTATGGATATTAGTTATTAATATGGCTGAATATACAGATTCATATTTAAATAAGTTTAATATAATTTCATGAATGCAAATATTCAATATAGAATAAAAGCCTAATATGGCTAATTTTATGGATACTAGTCTTACTTCTTAATGGCATTGCTACATGGAAGCATTTAATAGTCCAATTTTTAAAATTATCTTTTATAATATCAACTATTTCTTCATGTATTCCTTATCTTTGGCTCTTTTTTGAGTAAATTACTAATTCTAAGCATTGTATTCTGGAAGTACAGATTTCATTGTTTCTTTATCTTTGCAGATTTACAGCACCAAAGGTTCTGCCAACATGTACTTATCTTTTCCCCTTGCTATCATGAAGTATTCATCAGAATTTAGAGAAAATGTATTTTCTTTTTTAATATATCAATATATTGTGTTTGTTTGCCTGCTTGTTTCATATTTCCAAAATGAACTGTTAATTTGTGTCTCCCCAAATTATATGTTATAAACACTTGTACTTTAAAATAAACTATTAGTGGTCCTTAACTCAAATTTTGAGACAAAATGATACACTATAACTCCAACCATCTGTTCCAAAGGGCTGCCATTTATTTCATTTTAAATATTTACAAGGGATTGATAGATGAATGTTACAAGAAACCAGTAACACATACATACATTACTTCATTTGTAAATGTGGTAGAATGGGTATAAAAATCTATAGCCAATATTTTAATAGGTGTGTGTATTTATTATATACTAGAGGTCTGGTGCACGAAATTCGTGCATGGGAGGTATCCCTCAGGCTGGCCTGCACCCTCTCCAATCTGGGACCCCTCGGGGGATGTCCGACTGCCGGTTTAAGCCCGATCCCATAGAGATCAGGCCTAAACCAGCAGTCAAACATCCCTTTCGCAATCCAGGACCACTGGCTCCTAACTGCTAGCCTGCTGGCCTGATCCCCCTAACCACTCAGATATTTACATTACAATTCATAACAGTAGCAATATTACATTTATGAAGTAGCAACGAAAATAATTTTATGGTTGGGTCACAACATGAGGAACTGTATTTAAAGGGCCAGAAGGTTGAGAACCATTGCAACTGCTCTCCCTTGCTGGCCTGATCGCCCCTAACCACCCTCACCTGCTGGCCTGATCGCCCCTACCACCCTCCCCTGCCAGCCTAATTGCCCCTAACTACCCTCCCCTGCCAGCCTGATCGCCCCTAACTGCCTCTTCCTTGGGCCCCGTCACCGTGTCTTTGTCCGGAAGGAAGACCGGACAAACGGAAAATGTCTGGTCTATCCAGTCTAATTAGCACATTATCCTTTTATTAGTGTAGATGCATGTGCATTTATATGTATGTATATGCATATATATGAACATGTATGTGTGTATATATGTGTTCACCTGCATGTGCATGCGCAAGGGTGTTTGTGTGTATTCCCTTTAATGACATTTTTCCTGAGCAGCAAAGACAGCTTTAGGCTAGAATGGTAATTAAAAAAATACATATTTTTCCTCACTCATAAAAAGACAAGTCAGAAAATAAACTTTTAAAGATTATAAACTGGAATATATGTACACTTAGATAATGAAAATTTGAGAATAACCTTTCACTGTGAAAAGTGAGCTATTTGGATTTGGAGTTAAGTTTCAAAAATCAATTGCTTCTTTTTAAAATAAAGCTAATAAATGGAAAAAAAATTCCAGTTTTTGACTATTTGCTTAATCAGACAAGCATGTAGTTTGGAGCTCTTAGGTCCTGGATTACTTAGAACACTTTATTTAACAATACCTGACAAATTTACAGATGATTCAGGTCACACTGATGAAAGAATAACATATACTATGCAAAGGGAAAAATAAACACTCGAGATCAGCAAGGTTAATGCTGCATTAAGAACTGTTTAATTGAGATTGTTTTCAGGCCATGGGAACCATGGAGCAAATTCAGTGATTAGGTATTCCTACAGCGATCCCTTCTGCAGAAGTCGGTGTAACCGTCTAGATTAATTTGTAGTCAGTCATATAAGCTTTGTAAGACTGCAATAGAATCAAAAGATTCACTAGGCATTCTGTTCGGCCAGGATTCTGCCACAGCTACTATGGTATATTTTGTACTTAGTTTCTCTTTCAAAATTTTATTTATTTGTTTGTTTGTTAGGTTCACTTTCATTGCAGGAAATAGAGACTCCTTTATGCTAATTCACACAAACAAAACCAAACAGTTTTTAGGCTGCAACTGGAAAACTTGTAGAATACAAGGTCAGTATTTCTTATGGAAATGGGACCCAAATAAAGCTGTAAGGAACCTGGGATGCACTAACTCAGGATATTTCAGAAAGTACCTTCTGTCTGTCCTACTTT